CTACTATGTGCTATTAAACTTTCCACTAGAACTTGTTGTTAGCCGAGACAGGAAACGCACATGTCCATCGTACTACATGTCGCGAACCATCCGCTATCCCTTTCTTCACAATGGTACCCGTCAGAGGACCTCATATCAATCTCTTTTAAATCAGATCTTAGTTCTCGCTATCGCTAAACAAAGATCTGAGGACATCCCATTAAGGGTCACGTCAGAACGACCTTTCATCCGACCAATCAGAGCGTCGCTTACCAGATCATGAAAGTGACAGTCGGAATGTGTTTTCTTATCATGCAACCACGAAATATTTAACACGGGGTATTCCTAACGACAGTTACGGGTTTTATGATTATATCCATACAATCTAGGCCATCTATAAGCCTTTCCAGAATGTTCTTTTTATCAGTTTTAATTTTTTAAATCGAGAATAAGTCAAAATATGTTTCAAAGCGTAGTTGCCAGTTTGAAACTAGTGTCGTAAAGCTCGAGAAAGATGCCTTCTGATTGGCTAATGTCGATTTCTTGTCAGTCATTTCATTGGTCGGTCAAAATTCGCGAAAGGTCGTTCTGACGTGACCCGTAATGGGATGACAAAGTAATGCCTATCAAAAACTTTAACCGTAATGGGATGTCCTCAGATCTTTGTTTAGCGGTAGCGAGAACTAAGATCTGATTTTAATGAGAATGACCTCATACATAGTCATATGGGGTCAATTTCCAGCTCACAACTCAACTTATCCTGGGTTAACAGCAGCGTTCGTCATGGCACCGCCAAACAATGTTACAAAGTAAACTTGACAGCAGCAAGGAAATCGGGCTAGATCTATCAAGTGAAGACGACAAATCAGATGTCAACACGAAAAGACTAGGAATTTAATCTTATATTAAACGCCATCTTGACATTTCTAAATAAAAGAGATGTTCACCTAATAGGTTTGTTTCTAAATAAAAGTGATGTTCATCTGATAAGTTTGTTTCTACATAAAAGAGATGTTCATCTTATAAGGATTTTTTCGTGAGACAGACATTCTTGTTATGTGATATGTGCCAGGTGTTCAGTGACGCTTTTCATCGTCAAAACAAAATACTTCTCAATAGACTTAATACAACATGCACTCTACTGGTCTCATCCATAAATTTCTATCAGTATAACACTGACTACCATATATTAGAGAGTGACACAGGAATTCACTAAAGACAGAAAATTTACAACCTACAAATAAATGACATTGAACAATATTACATTTCTCTAAACACCACATTTACTCATATCTAACCCCAAACAGGTTTTTGTCACACAATAACGTATCCTAGATTAAGACACAGAATATAACTGAAATCAATAATTGACATATATCCAATAAGACTGACACACAAGCACTCTTTTCACATTAATATGTCTCGGAAAATCATTGCCAAGGCAAATAAATGGACGTGGTATTTTTATGTTTTTAAAATCAATGGCTTCACACCTTCATGTGACCCGGGGTAGAATAGGTCTTCATCAACCCATGCTTGCCATAAAAGGTGACAATGCTTGTCGTAAGAGGCGACTAATGGGATCGGGTGGCCAGGCTTACTGACTTGGTTGATGCATGTCATCGTATCCCAATTGCGTAGATCGATGCTCATGATGTCAATCACTGGATTGTCTGGCCCAGAATTGATTATTTACAGATCGCCGTCATATTGCTGGAATATTGCTAAACACGGCGTTAAACAACAAACAAACAAATACATCTTCAGGTATATCAGTTATCCTGTTTCTATTTTGAAAATTTATATATAATGTACATGGTGGTGAGTTTTAACCTTCTTTGAGAGGCATTTAGAAAGTTGGAGTACTACGTAAGGATAAGGTATATGGATGAATAATTTTATTGCAATTCACTTGCTTGATAACGGTGTTAGAACCTACACCGAAACGTCGCTCCCAATTGTAATAAAGAGGTTGTTCATCCATATATATTATCTCACGGAGTATTAACCTGTTTTATATTACTTCTAAAATGAGACCTCAATTAATTTTAGGGCTTACAGATACAGTGCATACAGAAGATTCTCAACGTACAACTCCAAAAGCGTCCTAAAAATGTTAAAAGTACACCCTGCATGTTTTGTGATTAAATCAGAGAGGCATGTAGAATCAAACACATACACGGGTGTCAAGACCATGAACTGAATATGTGAATTTCTGTACATCAAAACTATGCCATATAATTTGTTTCAGCTTGTAATCTGATTTGTTTGGTCCTTTGTAAAAGCAGTATCGCTTTCCTACATGGTAAATCGGCCTGTCGGCTTGGATATTTCAAGAATTGACACTTGGTACTTTTGTTTGGTGAACTAGTATACTCCACGAAACACAATACCCCGTTTTGCGTCTTCAATACAACGATAATAGCGGAAATTGTCATGTAGAGTTAATGGACTGTAAACAAAGGCAAATGGTGTAGACTCTCCGCTGTGACGTCACAGCTACGGCTCGGTTTATAGCCGGGATTTCAATATGCATACACACTGGTGGTGGGATCAGGGCAGTTGTTTGTTTCTCTTAAGAAACAATGAAATCACATATGACTTTATATGACTATTTAACATATTTAAAAAAAGTTTTGAATCCATAGGACTCCTTTAAATGATAACTTCACCAACACACATGTGTTCATTAATTCATTGCAGTTGAAGGCATGTACGGCAACTAAATACTAAGACCAGTCACTTCTTTTAATGAGTAAAATATTAACCGCAGGATGTCAGTCATTTTCTCAAATGATAAATCTTGCATGTCACTTCGTGCAATACCTACATGTTCTGGTTACTTCGTGATACGACTCAAAAGAAACAATAATTGACTGATATAACATTTGTGAAATAGTTGGCATGACGTTTAACGTCAGTCAGAAATATTCCAGTTATATCAAGGTGGCGTGTAAATGACGTTTTGGGGGCAGATAAAACCTGTTATTGATAGTATAATCAATCAGAGACACACATCCTGACAACGTGACTCTCATTTAGTCAGCACTTAGATAAATAAACTAAACAAGGTACCGTCGATATACTTGGACCAGAATTGCCTACTTGGGGATTAGTGAACTGGCAAACCTTATACAAGAATAACCCAATCCCCTCGAATAGCCCACCACATTAATATTTTGATTCCATTTTTTACACAGTTCACTAAATTCATGTTTCTTTGTACACTGAATAATAATAACAATAACAATAAAAGCAACAAAACCCTTTTCATATTCATAAAACAAATTCATGTGATTCTGACAATATCATGAGCATGTGTTTTTCATAGTGATGATATCAGGTGTTCGCCAGTAGGTGAGTTTTTCCTGCCCCACCCGTAGCACCCGTCACAAACACAAGCTAAGTCCATTGTTCATCTGAAAAAACACACGGGAACGTATGGTTTTAAGTCAGAATAGGGAATTACATCGGACATAATTTTTGTCACTTATTCGTCAATTGTAGAAATGTCTTCCACATATATATCTACCATAAAACGTTCTGAAAGTTTAACTGAGGCCTTGAATGTTGTAGTCTGGATCAAACAACTTTTGAGCAAGAGTAATATGACGCTCTTTGAAATCTTGGTAGAAAGAGCATGGTCGATTGTACCACAAAAGATGTGAAATGTGAACACCAAGGCTGGAGCTGCGAGAATATTGCTCGACATGAATGAAAGATAAACGCTTTGAAAACGCATCGTCGATTTTTTGCAATATGTGGCAAAATGGACACAACAATCAAATTACACTGTTCTTGGTGTTCAGGCATGCCATAATTGAACATAACAATGTCGTTGTACGGGTTCGAATCTCATTCCATGTGTTTGGAGATGGACGTAAGCACAAATACACATCCTTTCTGACTTCGAGTTGAAGGTTTCAAAGTGTTTCAGTATTAAGCTTTATTTTGAAACCTCTAATGGCACCACATGTCTTCGCGAAGACGTAATGATCTTTATCATCGACCTAAAACCTTTATCATCATATACGCTTATGACACATGGCATTCCCCAATGGTTTGCAAATTAGATAATCGGATATTGCAGATTATTCAAATGGGTGCTGCAGTGTTGCCAAATGGCTAAGTTAAACGATCCCGTGACCAACGTCTCTACCAATGATGGCGACTTCCCTTTTCAATGACGCACACTCGGCATCACATAATTTCGTGAGCATTTGTTTTTGAAAATTGTAATTGGTAAAATAAACTTCGTTGTGAAAGTATTTTGTGAAACCACTGTTTTTTAAATGTCAAACTACAAAGCCTCATCCAAACATTGAATGACAAAAATGTTACCATGTAGGATAACTGTTTAAAAGAAGATCCAATCAGGGAATAATTACGTCACATAATTAATGATCAGAACAAACAAATATCCAAATTAATTTCAGGAAACATTCCTTCCAACATAGCACTGTGTTTGCTACCAATGTCACTGGTAACATTGTGATGATAGTCTTGTCATACCTCCACGCCCTGTTCCAGTCAAGCCATATACGATACCGACTAAAATTTGCAAAAGAAACCACTTTAACAATACGCTCACCATAAACACATGCTCATGATATAGTGGGAATCGTACAATCGACTCTGCTTTTGGCAGAGATTTCTTATGAATATGAAAAGGGTTCTATCGCTTTCATTCACCAGTCCTCTTTGTACACTGAACATAAATCTAAAGAAATAGAATGACTGTCGTTAAAGGATTATCCATATATTTTAAGACACATATATGCAACGTTCTGGAAAATACTTGGAACGTGTGTGTCGCTCATTTAATTCCTCAGTGAGCGTGTAGTAGTGTCGTGGTTAATGCGTTGGCTCGTTACGCTTAAGTACATTTGTCTCCCACCCTGATACAGCTGGAATATTGATGGAAGTGGCGTTATACCTACAATATCTCCTCACAATATTCCGAAGTATATGAAGTTTACCTTTGCTTGTGAACACGTACACAGCCTGAAAAAACATCATTGTCATTCGCGATCTTTCTTGGTGCAGAATTTCAGAATGGGAAGAAGTTTGATGAAATTTTCTTTGAATCTCTTACTCTGAGATGCGTAGAGAAACGGATTGATGGACGACTTGGCCCACAGAAGCCAGGTGAAGAACTCATACACATGTCTGTTGAGACAGCCGTCACATTGTGAGGTTGCGACAGTAGCGATGGTATACGGAGCCCAGCAGATGAAGAAGGTTATTACCAGCACAGCCAAGGACCTCGCTGCCTTCAAATCCTTTCTGGCTGTCGTTTGTTTCATTGAAATTGGATTCGTAGAGCGACTACGAATCCTGGAACAATCATCGCACCCGGAGTGCTGAGTTTTGCACAGCTGTGTCTCCTTTTGTAAAGTGGAACTAGGTCTGATCTCTGGTTGTTCACTTTTTGATTCCACTTCATATGTTTTGCTGCCAGGTTTGGTTTTACTTTGATCTTCCTTATGTTGCGTACGATCATGACGTACACCCGTCAGACTAATTTCTTTAGGGAAGACCCTAAGCCTTTTCCTAATAGCTACAAAAACCAAAAGATTGAGGCAGCTGAGAGCAATGAAAGGAATGGTCATTTCGAAAATTGACGTGATAAGTGTAAAATGTAGATCTTTGATGAACTCAGCATCGCAATTATCATTTTCAATCACACTATGTCCTTTCACGATGTCCCAGAACACAACACAAGGGCCATATATCCCAAACACTATGACCCAGGCTATAGATATCTTCACCATTGCTACCTTCTTTGTCTCTTTGGCGATATACTCAGCTCCATTTCTAAGAAGGATGACTCTGTCAAGACTCAAAAGGAGAATGAGCAGCACAGACATCAAGCACATAGAATAATCGTTAACGCACCATATCTTGCAGAACACTCGACCAAACACCCAGTTCCAGGATCTGAGCGTGAAATCTGCATAGAAGATCATGCTGATAGCTCCAAGGAAGAGATCCGCTATAGCCAGGTTGAGGATGTAGAGGTTGTGGACAGTCTGTAGTTGTTTGTCTCTGAAGTAGGAGATGATAACGAGAAGGTTGCCCACCACAGCAAGCAGTATCAGAACACTCATTCCAACCCCAGCTACCCCAGGTACCCAGGGAGGAATGTACCATTCATCGACTTCATCCACAGTAGCTCCAGTTGATGTCGTTAAGCTCAGATTATCCGGTTTGAAGAAAATTTGAGTAGTTGCCATGATGACTTTTCGAACGTTCCTTTTAGCTGTTCCTTTAAACGAAGTAAGAAATAAAATCATTCAAATTTTAGATCAGACATTGAGCAGGATGCACCAGAACACATCACAATAACACCAAACACAAGACTACTCTTTTGAAAAGTCTAATCAATATTGATATATGCTCCTACATCAGTCGTGCCCTGTTAGGTCCAAGACACGTGTGAACGTGTATATACACTCAAGCATTGTGAGTGACTCTGTAATTATTTATCATGCTCCTCTACAAGAACATGTACATAATACTACATCAAAAGACTTCATAAGCATTTTAGAGTATCTTAAACGGCCTCTTATATACTGACGTGGGAGGTTGTCAAATAACTTAAAGCTGAAAACTCCCTTGTGATGATCATAAACGAGTTTACTTTACTCTGTTATCCAAATATAAGAACTTTACAACAATCACTTCATTTGCAATGTCCACATATAGTATTTGAGAAGACAAGACAACATAATGATTGTGCAAAATTTTTCTGACATGACTCGATAACAATGACAATGCCATAAAGGAACAGAATGTATGGACGTCAGCACCAGACAATCCACTCTGTAACAAAAAAACATCTGACGCCAAATATCGTATTGCCGGAGTAAGTGTCATTGATATCAAAGAAATGTGGTCATTTCAAGAGTTAATGTTTACGTTTCTGAACTTGCAACTTTAAATGTTCTACGTTGACATCATAAAAAAATGACACAAACACACACCACCTGGCTACTTGTGCAATGTAATGGTCTCATAGTGGTTTGTAAGCATTTAAATAAATGGTTAATGAGCCAAGCTAGATAGTTTCTTGGCAGACATCTCATTTTCTTTGAATCATGTTGTGACGTAAAGCATAAACTCGCTCACTCTTTGAATCATGAAATAACATGTTCCTGAAAGATATTTACAAGTAGGAATAGGATTCAAGCCCTTCTTAATCTATGCTCAATAGTGTAGGTAAATTAAACTGTAATCATACACATTTCTTGCACTTTTCTAAGATTTTACAAGTGATTAGTTTTCCAACAGCGTACACAACAAACCACTAGTAAAGAAAACTTTCCACTTGTAGATTCCAATTTAACGAGTGTTGGGTACATCTTTCATAAATCACACTTCACATAACATAAAAAGGTAGAGTTACAAATTCAAAATTTGAATTCGTTTAAACTTTAATTCAAATAATGTTTATATAAAAGTACTTCAGTATTCACTTCATGTAAACTGCCAATAGTTCCACCAAAGGTGAGCCTTACCTTCCTTTCAGTGAAGACGATTCGACCAGCCTCTGTTCACTCAGCTATCTAAATGCAACTAACATAACAGTGTATCATATAATGGTTCTCTTAATTACATTGGTCCTGTTTACATCCGCTTGGCCTATGCATTATATGGATTATCACAGATTGCGTGGGATAGTATTACAGTGTTTGTGGAGTATAGATTTTGATTCAGAAGGCGATATGACACTCATGGGTTTTAGACGTGTTTGGACTAAGCATATACATAAGGTTATATGAGTGAATTTACGAGGGTAGTGCAAACCACACATGTGAGTGAGTGAGTATGGTTTTACGCCGCTTTTAGCAATATTCCAGCAATATCACGGCGGAGGAGAACAGGGCTTCACACATTGTACCCATGTCGGGAATCGAACCCGGGTCTTCGGCGTGACGAGCGAACGCTTTAACCACTCGGCTAGCCGACCGCCCCTCAAACCACATGTTATTCAACAAGGCACACTCACAATAGTTCTGACAGGACAAACCCTTTGGGTTCGATCTCTTAACACCAACCATTAGAGAGTCGATGGAAGAGTGTGTAGAGTCGTTTGATTGGTTGGTTGGTTTGTTGTTTAACGCCGCACTCAACAATATTCCAGCTATATGACGGTGGTCTGCAAATAATCGAGTCTGGACCAGAAAATCCAGTGATTAATATCATGAACATCGATCCAGGCAATTGAGTGAGTAGGTTTGGTTTACCGCTTTTAGCAATATTCCAGAAATATCACGGCGGGGGACACCAGAAATGGGCTTCACACATTGTACCCAGGTCGGGACTGGAGCCCGGGTCTTCGGCGTGACAAGCGAACGCTTTAACCACTAGGCTACCCGACCGCCCCCCACGCAATTGGGATCGATGACATAAATCAACGAAGTCAGCGAGCCTGACCACCCGATCCCGTTAGTCGCCTCTTACGACAAGCATAGTCGCCTTTTACGGCAAGCATGGGTTGCTGAAGACCTATTCTACCCCGGATCTTCACGGGTCTCGAGTTGTGTGAACATATATCGCGGGTCCCCCAAACATTTGCTCCACCTCAGTGATAAACATAATTGGGAATACATTGTAACCGGAAGTGAAGTTTGACAGTCGATGCCAGCGACCTTGAAGGACGATCGGGGTCCTCGACCTATTACGTTGACGCGCACGTCTACCTATCATGTCCAAGGCGTGGGGGTAGGTCTCGGTTCATTGCTGGCCATGGCATTCTATTCTTTAATAAAACATAAATCAGGCTATATAAAACCTGTCGACAAAGGATAGTAAAATAACTTGATTATCGCATATTTATATTTATAACTAGTATGTTGCCATAACAAGATATCCCCATAATACGACAAATTATAAACGGGCTATAGATCACCATGAACAGAAGATGGGCCACGACCGAGGCTTGAGGTACTCGTAGCAGGCTTGAGGTACTCGTAGCAGGCTTGAGGTACTCGTAGCAGGATTTTACACCATCCCTTTAGCTACATGGATGGATGGATGGATGGATGGATGGATGGATGGATGGATGACATACAGTGAATGGTCTACAAAGGCAACTGAACGCTTTACAGAATGTTTGTGACACTTTGGGGCAAGTGTGAATGAGTGAGTTGGGTTTAACGCGGCTTTTAACAGTAATCCAGTTTTATCACGGCGTGTCAGCTTAATGTGAGAGGAAAGCCTGAAGTGATGCAGGTCTCAGACGTTTACAACTTCGGTGAAACCCACGAGCATGATACTGACAAAACCTAGAAACATAATCGGGGCGAACCGGGATTCGAACCCTCAATCATAGGTTTCTGGCGTGCCAAACGGACGCACCTCTGACAGCGAAGCAAGGCGCCTTAGACGACTGGGCCATCCGTGCCCCCCTTTATGACTAGAGCTCAATGTCGACAAGTCAAGCATAGTTGTATTAAGAAATGGTGGCATGGTTGCCCAAAAGGTCAGTTGAGGTGAAATAGGGTTTAACATCGCGTCCAAGATTATTGCACTTATATAGCGACGTGCATGTATGTGTGTGTGTCTTTGTGTGGCTGCTTGTACTAGTCCGGACTGATGCCGATTTATAGTGCTAGCTCACTGAGATACCATGCTGCAATTTAACATTAATACCCCACTCAGACACAGTATACTAACTCCGAGTCCTTGTTTTACCCCCTTAATGCCGAGCGCCAGACGGGGTAACAACAAGTACTATCTTTTAACGTCATTTGGTATAACCCGGCCGGGGATCAAACCCCGGACCCACCACTCTCCGGGCGGAGGCTCTACCACTAGACCACGGAGGCGGTCTGCCCAAAAGGAAAAGTTGTCGGTTCGTAATGTAACTTTGAGAGTTGTTTCCTATTATAAATATTTAGGTTTAATGTTTTCTTCGCGGTTAAATTGGTCAGTGGCCTGCAAACGCCTGCTGCTCAGGATCAGAAACCTCTACTCCCAAATCTATAACTATTTAAAGAAAACAAGTATGTTACATTTTCAAGAACCAGTGCACTTTTTGATAAAATGGCATCAACAATCGTTGGATATGGTGCAGAGATTAGCACCAGTCAGTTTGAAGAAATTAAAAAGTTTCAAGCGTCAAATTTTAAAACGATATCTTGCTGTAGGAAAGTTTGCTTCGACAATACCAGGGGAGACTGGGCGCTATACTATATTTATTGAAACTCTGATGAAAGTAATAAAATATTGGAGTAAACGTATATGTATGCCATGTTATCGTTACCTTTACCAGAGATACTGGTTGCTTGTATCTTTAGATATATATAGCAAACATACAACTGATGTCAGAACATTATTTTTGTTATTTTCCATTGAATGCCCAAGATGTTTGGGATAAGTTATTATTTGTTTCTACCCTTAAAAAGAACACTCGTTCCAGGTTGGTCAGAAATTATCAAATCCGCTTATTTTCTTTTACATTTATGCTTCGATTAAATCTGTGTTTTGCATCTGAGAAATATCTAATATTGATAAATCCCTTCTCCGAGCGATTTGTTTAGATTCTCTTGACACTGTTTAAAATGCAAGATATTAGAAAGAACAAAGACATAGAATATTGAAGCAATTTATGTACATTTTGTAAAGCTGGGTCTTTTGCAGACGAGTTTTATATCCTGTTAATCTGCTATCCCTATAAGAAAGAAATACGTGCCACGTAAATACCAAGTAATTTACAATTTACTCAACAAACATGATGTAAATACCCTTACGTTAGTAGCTATCTTTATCAAACACATTTTCTATAATATTTCTAAGAGTTGTTAAGTGAGCAAATGTCTTGTCAGTCATGTGACTGCAACTATATTTTGTTCATTCAGTTGCACTCTGAATAAACAAATACTGAATAAACACGTCTGTCTACCGTAAACAGCAATCAAATATCCTTTGTTTTCTAGAAGCAGACACTTACGATTAAGAGGAGATTACAGGGAGGTAATTCTTGTAAGAATAGGCTTGTCAAAGTGATATGTTCACTGCAATGTAAATATCATTTTTATCAACACCAGAAAACCCAGTCTTTAAAATTAAATTATATAATAAATCCCCAGTACCCTATAAGGGTCGACTTATTCAGTTTGGGAGAATTGCAGTGTATGACAGGGCGGATGTATATTCAACATGCCTTGGCGGCGTGAATGTTGTGAACTTACTCGATTATAAACAGTCTGCCATGCAGGCCAGTGATCAT